ACACTGACAGACAAAAATTTCCACCCGCTTGTAATATAACTTGATTTGTATATATTTTTATATATTAATCAAAGGTTCAGGGTTTTTAACGTTTAATAATTGAGTTTTGGTCTTAAAAAAAATTTAAAAAATGTAAATTGCAAGGAGAATGAAAAGAAAGACGGACAGGTAAATTTTGTTTTAGATTTTTAATTTTTTTCAATATCTCGTATTTCATCCTGTTGCCTTAAATACATCTCGAAGAAGCCTCTGCATACTTTCTGCCAATCTGGAAATGTCTCTTTGCAAGAGGTTAGCCCTTCTTCACGAAGAGTCCTTTCAGATCGTGGAGTGTATCAGATCATGTGTATCCATCAGTTGATGGACGTCCTCTTATTCGTCTTTTGAGGTTATCCCGTGGTTCGATGGGGTTCTTGTCTGGAGAACGACTGGCCAGGCTTATGCCTTGTTATGTTGAAAATACGTTTGCACTATTCGCGCGACATGTGGATGGTCATTATCGTGCATTAGATGATTTCATCGAGGACAGGTAACACATGATGTTCCAAAATTTTATGCACATAACGAGTGGTCTTCTACCAACATCAACCAACTTTGTGCGACTCTCGAAATGGGAAATTGTAATTCTTGCCCACACCATCAACGAGCTACGTTGAAAAGGTTGACTCTGGAAAAAATTACAGGCTTTGCACCTTTCATTTCGCCTTCTCTACATTCTTCCACGCCCATCTGGAGATCGTAGAGCACATCCACACTGATCTGTAAAATTTACAGCAGACCAAAGTCCAAAGACCAGTGGCTGCGTTCTCGAGAAACTCCGTGTGTTCTGATAAATTCTGGTCCTCTTATGGGGCGAAAAGCTCTCAGTCCATACTGGTTTAATCTTCTTCGAGCAGTGCGTTCAGAAATTTGGACGCCTCGAACTTCCTGGAGCTGATGAATCGCTTGAACAACAGAAGGTGCCGGTTTGGCACAATTCTCAAATTCAAGAAACGTTCATCCTGTGGTTCTGTTACCCTAGAGCGTCCAGAACTGGGCTTTCTATGGTAGGATCCAGTTTCTCGAAAACGTCTAACGGCGTCTCGCAGTTTCGTAAAGAAATCCGATGGCAATAGCCCTATGATAGAACGACCATCATCATAAGTGTCACACCAAGCGCAACATCCTCAGCATTAAGTGGCATTTTTAAGTTTAAAAATTGAAATTAAGAAAACAAAGATGAAAACTAAATAGTTTCTTGCTTCAGAATTCAAATGAGACTGAATAAACATTGAAAATTCCGTAAAAAGTAAATATTGACAAATCCTTTATCCTTGTTTTAGATTAAGGATTAAGTGGTTTAGCTCTAATTGATATTCCCAATTTAAAACATAGCATAAACAAATATTTATTGGTAAAAACAATGAGACAAGGGCAGAATTTTCTTTTATCGAGAAAATGAAAAATAATCAATTAGGTGGAATTTTTTGCCTGTCAGTGTAGTATTAAAACCGATTTGATTGTTAAAAAATGAGAGCAACATGTAAAGTATTAAAAAAACAATGATAGGCGTTGGGCGTGTAAGAAAGAACCGTTCGGGCCGGTCCATTCCTCGGGGATGTATCTGGTGGAGACGTACGGCTCCTAACGGAGGAGTGGGCCTGGCCGTGTGGGACGTGGAATGGAGGAAGGATGGGTGGCGGAGGCATTCCGTAAACAGCGAACTGGCCCAGGAAGTTGGCCCATGTCCAAACCCGCTGACACAAAGAAACGGGTCAACACATCCAAGGTTGCCCTACAATCGCCTCGTTCATTCTCACCACATCGGCCTATGGAATTTGGAAATTTTGGTAAAACTGAGGACCAGAAGTGACGGTTTCTTCATCTTCATCATCAGATACATTCTTCTCCTGGCCAGCGAGGAGCCCTGATTATATTTTTAATTAGGGAACTCTATTTTCCATTTCTGCATGTACCCCTTTTCGTACCATAAACCTCTTCATCCCTCTCTCTTCAATTCAGCTTTTATCCTTACACCTTAGTTTTTTCAGCAGGTTTTGTTGAAAAACTGTAAAATTTATTACGACTGTGTTTTAATTTTTTAATTTTGTAATAAGAAGCGCGATCCTCTCAGCGATATGTGAATGCGAATTAATTTCAAATTTTCAAATTAAAAGCGACAAATTGGGACCTTATTAGGATGATAATCGTCGTGCTTTATTCGAGGTCGGCCGCGATAACGATCTGCAGAATTTTTGGCCACCTAACTTGTCCGTTACCTCTTTCAGTCCTCGTACCGCAAACTTTCAATTTATGGGTCCCCTCCAAAGGCGACCTTTTCTGAGACCTCTTTCAACGGGAGTCGCAGAATTAAATGGGTGTTTTGTGCTGATTTCTCGCCACCATAAATTACCACTGTTTCATATTTCATTGCGAATTTTATATATTTTGAGCGTGTTTACATCTGTAAGATACCTGTTCAATATACCCCCCTATAAAATGAAACATTGTGTAATTAATTTTTATGCCCCTCCGACTAATGTCCGTTTATTTAAATTTGTGCCAGACACGAGATTTCGCATATCACGTTTCAAAATGAATCGTAGCAATAAAATGTGTCAAGATAAGTTGTAATTATTAGACAAACAATGTAAATAGAATAAACTTGGCTTATATGCGGGTAGAACTTAAAGAAACGACCCCCATCACATCGTGACTGGAAGTCCTAATCTGATCGAGCAAACAGGAACGAAACGGCGCCGATATCAAACCAATCGTGATAGAAATTAATACAAGACGTTATATACACTAAATAAATAAAAACGGCGAAAAATTTACATCGTTCTGGTCGAGATTAAGAATTTTTCCCTTCATTTAACTGCCAATTTGTCATACTATTAAATAGGCTTATTCATTAGCAATTCATTAAATCCATGCTTAGCGATTTCTTTATTTATTTCCATTTTCTCCTTTTGTTTAAAGTGAATAATACTTTCGTTGACCGTATCTGCAACCTACATGCCTGGTGAATATGGTGGGTGAAGTAGCACCTCCCGGGTCAAGTGCAACACTCACTAACAAAATATGGGGTCTTGCGTTGGAGGAGATGACACCGTTTCTAAACATCTGGCCCATTTCACTTGAAAGCTTTCAAAAATCAGGCATAATAAACTATCAAAATAAGTGATAACCGTAAATAAACAAAAATATATAACAACCAGAAAAAATATTTATTACAATTAATGTGTGGTGATTAGTGACCGTTAATCGATATTTATTTAGAAATCGTGAGATGCGGTCTGGTGTGATGTAGATTTCAGAAGAACATTTTCTTTATCGTGCCAACGTTTCGATCTTTATTGTGATCATCTTCAGGGCCTGGGATTTACGAACACTTTGAGTGAGTAGAAATACTTTGATTGAATAATAAAATATATTTTACATTGTATAAATTCACTTTTCCACATCCAAAATGTAATTGTAATATGTAAACAATGTTTGTAAATCCCAGGACCTGAAGATGATCTCAATAAAGATCGAAACGTTGGCACGATAAAGAAAATGTTNGTAAATCCCAGGCCCTGAAGATGATCTCAATAAAGATCGAAACGTTGGCACGATAAAGAAAATGTTTTTCTGAAACCTACATCACACCAGACCGCATCCCACGATTTCTAAATAACTTACAATTAATATTTATTATAATTATAATTATTATCAAATTATAAACCCATAACTTCCTCGAGCTCCTTTCACCAGGTATAGCCTGAGGAAGGCGTTAAGTTTAAAGCCCTGTTTTTAGGACCAAAATTTTAGTAAATTGGCGAAGCCTCTTCTAGGGTCTCCCTAAGTTACGAGGTAGATGGCTGGACCATCAAGATATCAAAAATAAAACAACAGTGAAGATAGACAAACGAAGATCAGTAAGGGTCAATATATAGCTTCATCTCCTCTCAGTCCACGAGAGAAAATTCTATCTTTTGAATCTTTTGAAATAGGTAAAATATTGATTATAAAAGACTTCAGCCTGACAAATTCAGCCAATGCCAAAGTTCTTTCTGTTAAATGTACATATTGTATACGAACATATTCAACAATATACTTGGTAGGATTGGGTATATGGTCCAATCGTTCTGGTGTTGAAACTACGCCAAGCTTTCGGTGTTTTATTTCACCTTCCTCAGGGCTAGATCATCTGTCTGTGTTTAAAATTGTTTTTTCTTATCAACATGTATTTTTTCATTCTTTCTGTCATTTCTTATACTAAGTACGTCAGTTTTCAATAAGTAAATAAATGGCACTTATTACAAACTATTATCACAGACAAAATCAACGTAAACAAAGAGAACTAGTATAAGAAATTACAAAAAGAGTGAAAAAACATCTATACATGTTGATAAGAAAAAACAATTTTAAACACTAACAGAGAATCTAGCCCTGAGGAAGACCATACCGAAAGCTCGGGGTAGTTTCAACACCAGGACATTCTTCAGACCACATCCCCGATCCTACCAAATATATTGTTGATAACAGCTGGTCGATCGCTTTTACATCATAAATATTGTACATACTACATGCATACATTGCCACCTACATACAATACCTTCCTTCTATATTTCTGCATATTATAAATGTTCCTTTTTACGTTTCAAATTACACTATTCGTAACGATCTACACATCCCGTTTGCACATGAATTCATCAAAACCCGCTATAAAAAATTTCATCAATCACTGAACACAGTAATCTATTCGTACGACATCTATCACTTCCAACCCTACCTGAAAATCCTCCAAGACGATTAAAGCGAAAGTGGCCCCGAGACCTTCTCATTGAGTGAAGACTGAACAAGATATCAGTGTGAAGGAGTGTTACCACTGGGAAACTTCAATCACAAAAGCCTCAAATGATAATTCAACATATACGAACATATTTACTTAATACATCACTTGTCGTTGTAAATATCAAATAAATGTAATAAAAAAAAACATATTGCAAGTTTAAGCAACAAATTTTACTCACCAGCAATGTGTGTTTCCTCGTGCTAGTCTCTCTTACGCTATTTTTCCCAATAAATCCTAAGACTTAGTCCAACTATTTTAATCAGAAAAAACTTTTTTATTTGTTGAGAAGGAGAACTAGAATAATGAAGAGTTTAATACATGACAATTCTGCCTTATGTTTTCTCATTAAATAAAAAATTTAACTAGCGAATAAAAATCAATTTAATGGTTAAATTTAATTAATAACATTACTATGAAAAGCAATTTTTTTTCCACATTATATATATTTTTTGTCACACAACAAATGGTATATACTAGATAGATAGATATACTTTATTTACAAAATGAAAAAATTTAGAGTTAAAAATAAAAAACACAGTATTATTATGGCATGGTATTAAAACCGTCAGCCAGAGTTCGGAGTGCATTACTATCCCAAGAATATGCATAATTATATAATTATAAGAAAAGGAGAATTTAAAATATCAACTTCAAAGGTTACAATTATTTACAGGATTTTCAAATTACAAGGTTGAATTGCGATAAACTTTGAAAATAATAAAAATGACACTTCAAAGAACAAAAGGATTCCAACTTACAAAGGGTCCCCCATAGGCAAACAGAATTCGCATTTAGAAGCCCACACAAAAAACAGATTGCAAGTTTAAGCAACAAATTTTACTTACCAGCAATGTGTGTTTCCTCGTGCTAGTCTCTCTTAAGCTATTTTCTCAATAAATCCTAAGACTTAGTCCAACTATTTTAATCAGAAAAAACTTTTTTTTTGTTGAGAAGGAGAACTAGAATAATGAAGAGTTTAATACATGACAATTCTGCCTTAAGTTTTAGAAGGCAGGTTTAGTTTTAGAAATTATATGTATTAAGACAAACAGAACAAAATAAAAAAAAACAAAAGACAAACAAAAAAGAAACAAAATAAGACGAACAGAATATTAATTCCCTACATTCCAATGTATTCATATCTGTAAAACCAGGCTTTCCGAGCAAAATCAACAAGACCCCGGCAATCGGAGCCGTTCAGAAGGGCCACGAGCTCTTCCCTGGTCAGAAAACCCTTACCCACATACAGATACCTCAATTCGTTCAGGACCGAGCATCTAGCGATAAAATGAAATGCATCCTCACGATCACCTGAATTATGGTATATACTTAATTGAACTTTAAAATTAAATAAATATGACAATATTATTCTAAAATTAATTCTTAAAATACGACCGGCATAATATTCGTTTAATTTTTTTAAAACTTTTTATTGGCTTTTTTACAACTGCATTCTTTGACGCAACAAGTAAAACATCTAATATTTACATATAAACGTATTAACGGTAGCATGAAAGCTTAAACAGCAACCGTCCAGTGATGGTAGCCGTTAGTACATCAATACGAGTGAGATGGACTCCATTCTAGAAGACCGATGTCAACTGTTCAGATTGTCGCGGAGCCACCGACGATTCAGTCTTCTGTTGGAATTATTAGGTAATGTGGTGGTTGACAGGTTTTTGACGAATGGGTTCGGATGATGGGGTAGTTTGGAATGGAACGTTTTGTAGCTGGCTTGGTAATAAGAGGGACATTTAGGACGGTATTGTATGATTAGATTCGATTGAGGTTGGAACGCTTAGCAGTCCCGTAAAGTTCAAGTCCGTGTCCAAACGGAGGCCAGGAGGGCAACGTCTGTCGAGTAGTCGTTTAAGCATGAAAAATCGTATGGTCTGTGCGCTTAATCCGTCGACGTAAGTTTGCCCAGGTAGAGTCCGAGGTATCGTACTTGGTTCGCAATTGGGATGGGAACGTTGTTGAGGTACATGGGCGTTTTCTTGTTTAGGTAAATATTATGTTTGTTGATTTGGTTTCGTTGATCTTGATTCACCACTGACGGAGCGTTCTAGGATGTTTAGGTGATTTTGAAGTTTACGGGAATTTGTGATAGGATCTTTATCAGGAGAAAGGATTGCGGTATCATCGGCAAAGGTGAAGGTGATAGCGTTAGTTTGCGTAGGTAGGTCGGAGGTTTAAATTGAAAAAAGGAAAGGAGCGAGCACGCTGCCCTGTGGAACACCAGCTCGAATAGGATGGATAAGAGACAATGAATTTTTTTGTGATACTTGGAGTAGGATTTTAGGACCTTTAATTTTTGCTGGTAGGATGTTCTTGAATTTCCACAGCAGCCCAGAGTGCTCGATTCAATTGCGTTCATATAATTGATATGATCCTTTAATGTTATAATTTTGTATTAAGAAATCAGGGAAAAGGCCAGTTCGGAAGAAAATTAAGCACTCCGTCCATTCGTCAAGTTTTCAAGGGAATATATCAACTATTATTAATAATTTACAAGATCGACAAATGTGCAAATCTATGTACTTACATTAAAACTTTCGGTAGTAAATTGGCAGTAAATTTTGGAGTTAATAAATGGAACGAGACCTGCAACACGTCCATTCTATATCGGAATTGTAATTTCCAGCTATAGTTGAAAAAGTCAATATATGATACCTATCTTTCTTACCTTAATCGTTTACCACCAACGGTATATTTTAAAACATATGGAGTTGTCCTATAAAGAAAGAAAGCAGAGATACCTAATGTTTTCACCCAGCACTATCCATCACCCCGTTAAAATAGTGAGGCTCGGAGGAATTTCACCGGGTCGATTATTTCAGGCATTTCAGAATATTAACTGTTTCGATTTCGTAAGACTTATTCGTGACCAGTTAGCTTCCACTTAGCGAGCATTGGAAGGAGATTAATAATGACATGAAAGATTTTTTGTTTATATCAAATAGAATTTTTATTGATTGATAAATCAAATGGTTCGTTTCAAAATTCCTTGTGTGTAAACTGATTAAAACATACAATCAAATTACTTATAATTTAACCGTTTTTGTATTCAGTTTATATAAATGTTTATGTTCAATAATCTTTCAGACATTTACCTCACACCGAATTTCGTGTTGTTCAGGACAAAATTGAATGAGAGGACATGTTCCCAGTGTACGTTTACATTGAAAAAACTATCTTGCTCTCCACTGTACGTCAACGTCTTCAACTCAGGTCAGAAACTTACATCATACTGACGTAGAATCTCCACACAAATAATGAGTCAACATTTAATAGTGATGATGACGAAAACGATTAGGACCGTTTTGACCATTAACTAGCTCCATACAAGACTGCGGCCATCACACTACAGAGAAGAACTGACATGCAGTGCATGCAAACTATCGAAGCCCCTTCCTAGCCTCACGTTTTGTCAAAGAACTGACAAACTTATCTGATCCAACATTCCAGCTATCGATCCATCCAACCCCATTTCCCATCCCTAAAACCTGCTACGAGACCTCGCCTCTTGCTTCCAATTATTGAGTGCCAGAGTTGGCTGGTTTCTCTTAAAGTGTGTCCTCTGGTTGCAATGCTGGCAGTGTGAAAAAAAAACATACAGGGTGTCCTTTTTAGATGGCACGACTTCATTTCTCTTCAACCAACAACGCTATAAAAAAACCTACGTTTTTTTATAATTTTTAATCTAGTTTCAAATTTGTACCTTTTTGGTGAAAAATTATATAGGGTATCTCAGTCCAGGTTCAACTTCAAAATCTCAAATACAACCCCATACATCCTATCCCATCATTTTAAAGGATTTCTTATACTGAAAAAATGGTGCAATTATATTATTAATTGTCAAAAAAGGAAAAAGTTATGGATAAATGTTTGGGGGAAAAACTTACCTGCAAAAAAATGTGTACGGGGCACCATCAAGCTGGCGAATCATGCTTTGTCGTCGTGGCAGAGGAATATCATCTAATAGCGTTGGTAAAAAAACCTTTAAAAAATTGACGAACTGAGCACCATTTAAATTATTTTCGTAGAAATAAAACCCAATTAATTTATTTTCGAAAACACCAAACGTTGATACAGTGAACCACCTGAAGATGACAAGAGTACGAAATTCTCGAATTTTCTTCTGCCCACGTTCATATTAAGACGGTTTAGTACGCCATTAGAGGTGAACTTGGATTCATCAGTCCAGGATGTATGGAAGGACGTTTTCTTCAGCCTGCAAGGAACGTTGGACGCCTGTCATAATCAGAGTCCCGAAGTCCATGGACAAGAGAGCGATACAGCTTAAAATTATAAATTCGTAGTCTCTATTTTTATTTTTTGAAAACCCCAAAACCCTTTCTACATTTCGGAAAGAGGAATTCGGATTTTTGCGAACATATAGCAAAATATTAATCACATTGTCCAAATTACGCTCCCGGCTTCTTTTTGTCATTTTTTGACCAATTTACAACCAATTCAATTTTGAAGTTGAACTAGGACTGAGGTATCCTGTATAATTTTTCTCCAAAAAAGGTAAACATTGCGAACCTAGACTAAAAAACATTAAACACGTATTTTTGTTTTTCTGATAGCATCATTGGTTCAAGAAAAATTTAGCCAGGCCATGTAAAAAGGACACCCTGTGTACCTTTGTAATATGTATTTTGATATGTATCAATTATTTTTACAAAAAATTTGACACTTGATCGACTGGAATAAAACGGTTGTCTAAAAAAACAGCGTTCCTGCACGTCGTTTTATGTTTGACGCAGGAAAAATTCGAAGAAAATTGTTCGATCAGCCTATCCTGTTTATAACTGAAATTACGTCAGATATTGCTATCTTCAATGCAAATATGTAAAATTAGGAATTTTCCCCGCAAAGCCGAAGGACCACAGTACAAGCAATTAAAATTATACTAGACATTTATGAACACGTTGCGCAGCTTCGAACTGTCACACTGTGACATTTATGCCACCCAGTGTAAGTACTCAGCAGTTGACAGTTAGCAGGTAAAATCAAGGCATATGAGGTATTTTAGTTTATTTTAGCAAAAATAATTATAATAATTATTTTTTGAACATTAATTCTAAACGGTAAAAAATTAACTAAACTAAATTACCCTTAAGATTTGAAGGTCATAAAATAAATAAATTAATTTAATTTAAATAAAAACTCTAAAAAATTATTCGAAAACTATATTTTTTTAAGAGGGGAATATTTAGCACAACATTTTATTACATTTTTGAATATAGCACAATGATGTACGTGTTTTTTTTTCTGAAATAAATTTCTTTTTGATTTTCTAGCGAGATGTATAGGAACTAGAAGCTAAAACACGGA